CACATCTTACACTGTAACCTAGGACACCAAGTATTGCCCAGAATCTCCTCACTGAAAAGTGGAGGTCAACACACCTCAGTTTACACTCAGTCAAAAAGAGCTTAAGAACCAGATTTTGAATCACAGCTAACAGGCCTGATTTATAGGGTATTTTTAGCAAATGAAAACCTGCTACCTTACCTCTTTGTTAGTGTAAGTGGTCTGACAGATAATTGGGATAATATCTGTTCTTTGTGACAGCTGAGAAAAGTGCTCCTTGGGGCTCTAAAAAGGGGCAGAGTTAAGATCAAGGGCCTGAATCTCCTTTTCCAAATTAGCCACAACCACTGTGAAACCCTTGTAACATTGTTCCACCTTAGCAAAACCAATATATAAATTAACTGATAATTCCTACCGTCAGTATCTCTGGTAATTCTGCCAAGGGGTTAAAAAAAAGTATGTTTTTACCTTTATTAACCTCTAAAAGTATTTTACCTTTACAGAATCCTGATCTAATCAGCTCAGGTTGAAAAGCATTATTCCTGTCTCTTACCTAGCATTCTTTATCTTTACAGTCCAAAGCTCTTTGCACAGTTGGTAACTATCCTTGTCCCTGTTTCACAGCTGGAGGCACTGAGGCTACCAGGAGGGAAGTAGCTGGCCTCTGGTCACCTGGCAGGACAGTGGCAGAGCAAGGAGATGCCTTCAAGGTCTTTTGAGTTCTCATTCTGGATGTTGCTTGTCATTCAGCATTGTTTTGTTGACTCACTGTCCTCGAAGAATTAAAAAACCCCCAAACTTACATGAAATAAAGAACATCACGAGTGGAGGTAGCTTCAAAGTGTCATTTTCTTTTCTAGGCATCGCCATCAATTAAATGTGATGTTTGTTGGAGGACCAAATGAAAGGAAGGATTATCATATTGAAGAAGGAGAAGAGGTAACTTGTAGACTGTTTATATTTTGCTGTTTTAATTGATCTATAATTGATTAAAATACAGCTACTTTTGAAGCTACAGATTAGCAATGCCAGGCTTAGTGATGTTGTATTTATTAGATCTACCCAAAGACTTAAACAGAATCGTTCACCAGAACCATACACCATCTGTGCATTTCCTTTGAAACAAGCGCATGAGATCAGATCTATTTTGCTGTAATTCATTTCCAACAGGAAACTAGAGAAAGCGTTCTGATACTTGAAAATGTCTCATTTCAACATTTTGGAACAAAACTTTGGAAAGGTAGTGATATTTTATAGCAGAAGATTGATCTGTGATTCAAATGTAACTTTGAAATTCCAAAATAAAAATTAAATATTTTGATTGGCTTGAAATTATTTTTTTCTGGACTTTGTGAAAAATATCAGCATTTTCAGCTTTCATTCATGTTTGGAAGGTTAAAGACCAAAGTCTCTAAATTTTTTTCCAATCAGTCCCCTTCACTGCATACCTTCTGTGTCAAAAGACAGCCGTCCCACTGCTTTGAGTTGTGGGTAGACATTGTGCCAAATGCAGAATACAGGAAGAAAGAGTAGAAACCTATCAAAATGGTAAAAATTTAGACCTACTTTGTTTACTGCCTTTTTCACGGAATTGTCTGCTTGGCCTGAGGACTCCTCTTGAGTCAGAGGTATTCACAACTGGCTTTGAAGGAACCCTAAGAGAAGGGGGACACTAGAAACCTGACAGTAAGGGTTTCAGGATGGGAGACAATTTGCCTTGCTTCCCAGAAGAGTAATTTAATTTCACATAATTCCCATAAAATTTGGCCACCTATTTTTAAGTACCTTTGGAAACCCAAGCCTAAGCATCTATATAGTTCAAGGCAGAAGTGAATCAAGTTAATAAATCCTTTTAAAAAGAAACAAAAATTTGTGTTTGCTTATCATTGAATCATTTCTCACAAAGCCAACGCAACCGTTTCACAACAGCCTTCATTACTTTTCTGTTATAATTGTGCTGTGCAGGTCTTTGTAGTCATTAGAACCGTACTGCTCTGAAAGAGTGGATGCTACCGTGTCACTGTCTGGCTCCTGCCTGCTTTGGGTTGCCACCACGGTCTCACAGCCCACCCGTGGCTTTGGGCACAGGCACGTCCATCATGTCCCAGGTTACCTGACACGCTCCATTATGTCCCTTCTCATCGGCTGTGCAGGGGGAGCTCTGCCAACACCCGGGACCATGCCATCAGGTTGCTCGGGCTGGGAAGGAGGCAAGCCAGGTGTCAGGGCAGTGTGTGTGAAGCAGTTGCTGCTAACCAGAATAATTTAGCATCCATCATATATTTACAAGGGAATTCCAGAGGTACTTAGCTGAGGAAAACAAAGTGTGGTTTCATCAACATGATTATGTCCCTGGGAGAGGAGCAATCACATCCATACGATGACTGCTCAGAAAGTGCTGAGAATAATATCTAATCTATATGCTGCTGTTATGGTATGTTGTTAAGTATTATATGTTAGATTAAAGAAGAGTAAGTGAATTTTGTTATCAAGGTCAGTGACATCAAGGTTTGACATAGAATGAAGGTACGTGAAGTTAATGATTCTAAGTAATTTTTTCTGTAACTTAACCTTTTTGGTTTATACACTTTATTTTCTTACTCTGAAGAATACATTAGAGCTATACACTAAGAGAGGAACACTGAAAAATGAGCTGAAGTTTAACTGGTACAATAGTTTGCACTACAACATTAAATACATTGTATTTTTTTCCCTTTTCTTTACAATCTTGTCTCTCCCTGCATCTGCCAGTTCACACTGGATTATCCTTGGTCCTCAACCCATTCCTGTGCTGTTCCCTTTTTTAAAAATTTATCTACCCCCTCCCCTTCCCTTAAAATGAAAAGATTAGTATAATATACCTCATTTTTTTTTTCTATTTTGCAAGATGTTCCTATGTTTGAAAAGGATTTGGCCTGCCTTTAATAAACCTAAACCCATTATATGACTTTCCAACAGTATAAAAAGTTAGCCATATCTGTAAAGGCATAATTTATATCGGCAAGCAACAGTATAGTAAGTTACTGCTAATTCAACTGGATACAAGATTTTTCAGGTATCAATGCATCCTCATTAACATAGCAAATGTCCCACCATTACTCAGCAACCAAAAATGGAAACATAAAATTCCTATCAGATCGGAAAAGTGGCAATATACACCTCAGAAAGGCTATCAGTTACATATCAATTTAACATATGGGCCAATTTTGTCCACTTTTATGGAGGTACAATATAGTCATATGTTGCATTTTACCATAGCTTTTTATCGGACACATTTGCACCTTCTTGTGATCTAATTTAGATCTATGTTTTTCATTGGAGAAGAATTGTGAGGTAGATTATCCTAGTAAAAGGGCATATTCCTAAATTAGACCTGGGATTAAAAGAACATTCAAAACCATGTTCAGCTCATTATTTTGCCAGGCAATAGGTCATTTATAGTTCTGAGTGATAATTTGAAAGACAAACTATATAGGCGTATCTTTAACAGGCCAAATCACGAATGCGAAAACCCACAGATCCTTTATGCAAATGGAGCTGATGCTATTCTACTAGTATTATTCTGATAGCAAAGAAGTGTTGGTTTAGAAAAGAAAGTTAAATTTAGGATTGTTTATATCTGTTGACTCGTTATTTTATGCCTGTCATCACACAGCTTGTAGTCTGTCCTGTGGCACAACTTGCGCTTGTCAACCTGCCATTCACAGCAGGAAGGGGTTCACATGCAGAGATAAGGGTTCAGGAGCATCCTCCTGCTCACGCACTGTTCTCTGCTGGCGCCGTTAACATGCAGGTGTATCAGGAAGATCAGTTCTGACTGGCTAATTATAAGAAAAAACGGAGGCTTGATTTGGACTCTCTTCAAAGCCTTTTAGGATTGCCTCCTGAACAGTCATTTAGGCTAAAACGACAGCTAGTCTCGCACAATTTTTTTCTTCTTCCTTTCAACAAGCAGGAGTTTCCTAAATATGTGACTTGACATTTTCTTCCTTCTTAGTTTTCTCTGTACAACTTCACTTCTTAATTTTCTGTGCACTAGTTATTTGCCATCTTTCTGCACAGAAGTACTGCCTCGTACCTGAAATATGGTTTTCCATTGGACAGGTTTTATAAGAAGCCAAATCAAGCTGCATCTAACAAGAGATAAACCATTCACATCCTTTGGCTTGACTTTACCACTATGTCATATTCATTCCTTTTCCTGTTTGTAAGTGTTAAGTTCCCCCTTGCTCCCTTCAACATCGGAACAGAGATACAGTCAACAAACATCTACTCGGACATTCTCTGCCTCTAAGTAAGACCCCTTCTCAAAATGAAACTGAATTCCTTTGGGAAATGCATCTTCTGTTGAAACATGGCAAAAAAAACTGCTGTGAGAATGCACTTATATAGCTATACAGGCAAAACTTTCTTAATACGCACTAAAAAGAAAGTGTTGGTGCTATATAGCTAGTTTTGTGATGTTTTCATATGAATCATTGTTCCAATGTACTTCACTTGTCAAGAGGGCTTTGGATTATGCACTACTGACTACAATTCTTGTGTAGTCCACTTGATGAGAGCACTGAAAGCTTCTGTGGCAGCCCTGACATGATGCTCAACCCCTCACGGCTATGGGGTAGGAGGTGCATCCCAGGTACCGGGGAACAGCTCTCGACATACCTTTGTGTCTTGAACTTTTCATCATACAGTAGCATTTGTGACAAGAGTTTCAGCGCTTACACAACTCACACACTTCATGGTGTATTTACAGCATTTTGCTTACTTGCAATGCCTGAGGGGGGATAAAACCTTGTAATCTTATCTTAGAAATTCATCATGTAACTGACAAGGAAATAAGGTGAGTGAAAACTGAAGAGGGGCTGTATATTTTGGAGGAAATTAATGACAGACATAAACCAGTCATAACAAAACTTAGCCATAGTAACAGAATTTCAGATTTTACTTATTGCATCACATGGGCACCTTTGGGGGAAAGTGAGATACGCTAACAGCTAAATCTAGGATCACAAAAGTAGTTAGAGTCCTGTCTCTTTACTCACTTCAGTCCACCACTTAAACACAATGAATCTCAACTAGCTGACTTTGATGTCTTAATTTATATTCTGATGTTAAGTCTACATAAAACAGTGCGGTTCCATGCAGAGAAATTCAAATCAGCCTTTCATCTACCACCTGCAACACTTTTGCATTGGCACAATATTCTGCTTGGTTTTAAAAAGCCGTGCTTCTCGTTGTGCTTTGTGTATCATTTTCTGCACTCAGCATCGAGGTTGTTTCCTATGGATAGAGCCACCTAAGTACTGATGCAGCCCCAGAGATCAGAGTCCTTACACTACAGTCCTAAAGAGGACTCTCAGAACAGAAATTCCCTCTCCTTTGATTGTCTTGGCCAGTCACTTCAGCTTCTTCTAGCACATTTACACGGTCTGTTTGAGCTTAGTAACATCTTGGTCTGAAACATGTTACAGATTTGAGGTCACATCTGCCACAGCTCATCTGAGTTTTCTGACCCAAGTTTTGATTTCTCTGTTTCTCCCCCTCACACACACACCACAAGACGTGGCTCCAGTTTCTGACAAATTACCTGCTTAAATGAAGCTTGACCTCTTCTTCTAGCGTATGCTGCTGTCTAGTCAGCATGCTTTTGAGAAACTTCCCTAGCAGCTCAGTTCTCCCTTTGCATTGCATGGGGATACTGGATGCCTAGGAGAGGAAAAAGGGGCTAGGTGAGCATTCCAGTAGGTAGTTTTGAAGTGCTTATCTCCCCAGTAAAACAGAACATGTGTCACAGCAAAGCAAGGGAAACTTTTTGCTTCTCTACATTTAAAACCCTCCCCATTTATCTGGTGAAAACTCTTTGAATATTTTAATAAGAAACCAAGCTCCTAACACAAAGTAATAAGAGTGATGAACTTCTTGCATCAGAAGGAGACTGTGCCTTCAGAAATAAGTTTGCTGCATAAAATTGTTGGGATGAGTTTAGCCTAGTATTCAGCTTTCATGGATGACATGTAAATAAGCAAAGGGGGGGGGGGGGAAAAAAAAAAAGGAAAAAAAAAACCCCACAACTTTTTTCTCTACCTTCCTCATCTGTTTGACTTCCAGACTTCTGATAGGTGAAAAACCTTGTGATAAGAGAGGGAGAAAAATTGTTTTTCTGTGCTCAAATAGATCAGTCACCAGTCACCAGTGAAGTCTGGAGAACACCCAGGCACTACTCCCACATCAGAATTTTATTTGCTCTGCAAATTAATTTAGTACTTAGCAATCTGACAAGCAATACAAGCCAGGATATGCCAACTCAGAGCCTAATCCCAGAAGCAGTTGAGCAATCCAAAACTTGACTTTCAGAGGCAGTCAATACTCAAAGTACATTGCAAATTACAGGTATCTTTAGAGGTCCGTGCAAAAGCTCTCAGCTACAAAACCCCTCACGGAGCTCTGGCTCCTACATCTAGGCAGAGTTCGATAGCAAAAGTGGATCTAAGTTAAGTTACATACATTGCTGTACATAACATAAAGTAGACTTGTTTTTTTAATTGGCCTATACAAACCAATTAGAAATACCGTTGTTCTCCTACTACATGCTTCTTTCTTTACTCTGCTAGGGTACACATACCTGGATGAAGGAGCAATAGAGTTCTTACCATGTGAATATGGTGGTGCTCTTTTTAAGGTAGTATCCACACTTTCTACTACCTCGTTGAAATGAATTCCTACCAAGACAAGCAGCTTCAGAGATGCTTCCAGTGAAGGAAATAATGAACTCGCACCTCTTTGCATTTCCACATTTCTAGAAACACCTGCAAAATTTCTTTTATGAGTCTTCATAATTGAGTGAAATACCACTTTACAGACTTGACAATGATTCAGCATTGGTCATGCTGCCTTTCACATCAGCTTAACACAATACTATTAGGGTTGAAGCATGGTCAAGAAGGGTGAAGCAGACTAAGGAAGGAGGGTGTAATTCTCCTACAATAAAGTGAAAAGTAAATAATTCAAAAAAACAAACTCTCAGTCTTAAGCAGCTGTCAGTTTAGTTTTCATAGGTAAACTGCAGCTTTGGTGATCATATTGAGCAACATTATGAAAAAAAATGTTATGGAAAGAATGGCTTCCACGTGGCTCAACTTCTAGAGGTAAGGAGACAATTAATAAGAGGAGATGTTTTTAGTGTGATTGTAACAGGAAGATGCCACATAGTAAGCAGGGAAAAGGTAAAAGTTTGGAAAATGAAAGGAAGAAAAGAAGGAGATATAATATTAAACAACAAATAAGCACATTTAGGAACAAAACGGATAAAAAGACGGGTGAACAACCTTTGTTTCTTCCTTAAGCCACATTTTTCACCCAGAAAGACAAATCCATGTCCAATTTTGACCCGTTATGCAGTAGCAATGTACAAATCCAGGCTTTTCTGCAAGGAGATATGTATGTATATATTCTAAACGTAACAAGTGACCTTGTCACTAATAAGATGCCAATAGAATGAAAATGTTGCACATTTCCTCAGTTTTCAGTATGACTGTGAAGAATGGATACAAGATTATTCCAATAAAAACAGACCAATTAGGGAAGCTTATATTTTCAAGTGACATGAACTCTACTTAGTATCTATGTATTTGTGTATATACATACACATACATATACCTGTGTACACACACCCACCAGTACTTCCTTACTCAGGCCTTGATTTTTCCAGGAGATTCTTAACAAAAGATTAGATTTGCCAAGAAGGCAAAGCACAGTCAGCATTTAGTAAAAATAACATTACAGCAAAAAGACAGTACAATACTGTATTGCCAAACTGTCCTGTGAAGTGGGCATGGGCTGTAACTCTCAGATATTAAACAGTTGACAGTTTTCTTGATAAAAGTTCAGGGTATAACATAAGCACAGCAGTAGATTCAGTAATTGCTGCCACTTGTATTAATCACAGTTATATCAGATGATTTATGGATGACTGAAGCACTCAGACATTTTTCAAAAAGAAGTTTTGAAGAATAGACCATAATTTACAGTGAAAGGTACTATTTAAATTCAGTCAGAAAACCACTTTTATTGACGTGTAGCCCACCTCATTCCTCCTCTCCCATTGCAAAACAAGTCTTTTAATTCAAAATTTAGTGTTCAGAATCTTTCCTTATGACTGGGATGCTCAACTACTGAACTGGATGGCCCCTTTCCCCTCTCCAGACTTTCATTAGTAGAAAGTTTGCTCAGCTGCATGATTCAGGGTCACAAGCAGAATAAAACCCTGCCTCTGTTGTCCTTCCCCTCATCTCCATGTCCTGTGCATGTGGTCAGTAATAGCTCCCTCACTAGTTATAGGGAAGACAACACTGAAGCTCAGCGTTTCAAAAAGGATCTTTCAATTTCAGCATTACATTGCCATATTACCGATGGCCTGTAAGATAATCCATCAGGATCTTACGGTCTTAGATGAGATTTTTGAAATTAAGGAGAGATCATTTCCCCACTCAAATCACTTTATGTTGTCCAATGAGCAGTTAGCCCCACCCAATGTGCTCTGTAATGAGGGCTACTATAGCGTTTTCTGTGGCCTTTCAGTAACAGCAAAGAAGATTACAAGAAAAGAACATGGGGAAGTGGAGTGCAGGGAAGATAAGTGGCTTGGCACTGTGGGCACCTAGACAAGAGTTATAATTTATCTGTGGTGATGTCCCTGGTACAAGGTGTAGTTTTCACTCATGTAAGAGCTCTCAGCATGAGCTTCTTCCAGTACATCTTCAGTTCTCTCTACTGTTTCATTACCTTGGCAGCATATTTATTCTTCCTTTTGTTCACAGAGGTGTTGCTTGGATTCTCAGGGGCATATATTAATATTTCAAAACTCTTTTGGAAATAATCCTGAATCAAAAATTGGTTAAGCTTTTCTAATGTTAGAAAAGGTTTAGTTTGGAGTTTTTATATACTTTGGTAGTTTCTTCTTTCCCTTATATTTTTTCCATGTTGCTAAAGTTGTAGTGAATTACTATAAATGAAATTATTTTCATTATAGTTCTAACTTTTAATCAGATTTCAATTTCAGCTGCACTAGCAATTATATGAATTAATCTGTTTGGTTTCTAGATATGGCAAACAGAACATGGAAAGCATATAGAAGCTTGGCAGAGAGTGGCAGAAAAGTAAAGTTGACTTTTTGAAGCATTATTGCTCAGTATTATATAAAATGAGGAAAAATGTGCCCATTGTTCCAGGTCAAAGAGAGACCTGCTTACGGATCATAGCACAGTTCTGCCATGAAACATGAGGCCAGGTCTGAGCACCAGAGCTGTGGAAAGGTCACAGAAGACAGAATTATGGTTTCAGTGGTTCTGTACTTATACAGAATGTATACTCTTTTTGAATGTACTCCTTTTACATACAGAGTAGGAAGAGGAGCAGCTGTTGCTGGGCTTCAAGGGTATCCACAGAAATAAAGCAGAACAGCTTCCAAATGGGCAATCATTCCCAAATGAGAAAGCTCCATTAAAAAATGAAAAAACACACCCAAAACACCTGTGCTTGCATATTTGGAGCTTATTTGGAAAAGTGACATTTAATTTGATTGAATGTAATAGTGAAGATTCTGCTACATCTGAAATGAAGCTTTATAGACAGTGTAATTAACGGATGTCTGAACCATAATGTCCCAGCCCTACAATGAGTAGTCCCCAGGAGTAAAGATAGTGCAGTACAATTCCACTGGATTCACAGAATAGCTTTATAAGCAGTTGCAGACCTCTTAGATTGTCAAATGTATGTAAGATAATGGAAATAATACATATTTACTAACATTTTCAAAAGCAGTAAGAGCTGGAATTCTGTTATTTATTGTTAGAAAAAACAACCCCGCAAATATTTGCGATTACAGATTGAATGTCTTCATATAATTGTATCCTTCGTATACAGAATATGAAGTACAAAATATTTTGGAGTAGTTGCCTTAATGTTATTTTCCTATTCCTCCAGCTTTTTTACCAGGTTAAAGGAGATATGTGTTTGAAGATAATTGAAAATGGGAAACAAAAAGATATCATCATCCGAGAAGGAGAGGTAAAACAGGGCTGTTTTTCTGTTATTGTTGCACATAGGTATGTTAAATGAATATTTTATGAAGTATTTTAAAATCAGTTTAACACTGCTGTGCAAGACGTGGCATCAGGGTAAAAAAAAAAATAAAATAAAACTTGAATGCAGTATGGCAAATTCTATGTAATTAACAGCAAACTACAATACACTGCGTTCAACAGTTCATTATTTCAATAACAGATAAAAATATCTCTGAGCATTTCAGATACCCATTCAGATAGGCAGGAATATACTGAGAGGCGTTCGTATTCCCCTGCATGGCATGGAATCTGCCACATGAATGCAAGTGGATCAGTCTTTTATTTACACAGTCAGGTACATACTGCCCACCTACCCAAACACACCATTAAGTGAACAGCCTAGAACTTAGAAAGTTAAGAGATTCAGCTATTTTCAGCCTTCTTTAGTTGTCACAGCTCCTTCACAACCATCACAATGCGAGAACAGTTTTAAAAGAGCAATTTATGAATGAAATGTATCCAGCTGCACTCAGTTGTTTTTCCTTATACTACTGGACTGGCTAAAGCATAGATTGTAGTGCTCTTAATGACAGCATGACTAGATATTTTACTTGGTGTTACTCCACGTTATTAGATGTGCTACAACTGCCACTCATTACTATTGTCACAAGCTTGAGCTGCACTCAGACTTTGAAAGGATTATTAGATCTAGTGGGGCCAGCCTGTAAAATGGAAGACATACATTAGACCCAAAAGCTTGATGTCATTAAAAGTATTGTGACATTTTCAATGAAGAAACAGATGTGTGTTTTCAAACATAGATGACTTTCAAACAAAGACCAAAGACTCTGGTAATATACTTCAGGATAGAGAAGTACATCCAGCTGAGATCTTGGCATGTAACACAGAGGCCTTAATGAAAAGGAGCACACAATATCCTTAGTGGGAAGACTGACACTAGTCCTGGTGAGGCACTGTCATTAGCTCTGTTTTGCAGGCAGAGAAATTGTAATGACTTGCCCAAACTTGGCTAAGAAATCTGTAGCACTGAAGAACAGTACAGGCTTACCAGTTTCCTACATAGTCAGAGAGCTGCTAGAAAAAGTTTATTCTCACATTTCAGTAATAGACTTTTCCCAACCAAATGTTGCCTATTCACTTTGTGACTTGCTTGAGTAAGTAGCCCCTCATATTTCTTAATTATTTCTGGAGAGAATAACACTCCTCATCATGCAATCACAGGTGCTCACTGTGTTGGAGGGATACATGTGGTTGATTAGTTTAGACATTTTCTTCAGCTGACAAACTGGCTTTTTATTTCCATTTCTGCTACTCAGAAATTGCAATAAATTTATACGTTCCAGATGAGAAATGTTTAGATTTTCATTTCAATTGTGTCTAGCAATGATGATCAAACTAGGAGGAGAGCACCTGACTGCCACAAGGGCAGTGCTAATTGCAGAGTCAATGGCCATCATTCACTGAGAAAGTGAGAAACAATGTCTGCTGAGCTGTTGGTACCAAAGTGAGTGCAGCTGCAAAGAAGCAACACAGCATCAATAAAGAATAGGAGAAAAACGGGGCTAGGAGCAGAGGATTTTGCAGGTTGGGGGACAGGGGAAGGACAACACAAAGAACAAAAAGTTTCTGACACTGGTGCTTTTCCATTTCTTTGAACAGATGTTCCTCCTGCCTGCTAGGATACCTCATTCTCCTCAGAGATACACAAACACCGTGGGTCTTGTGATTGAGAGGGAAAGGTTAAAGACAGAAGTCGATGGGCTCAGGTGAAGTATAAACCGTTGGCTGATCTGTTAGGATTCATAATATAAACTAATTTCTCATGTCAATACAATACTGTATTTTACTTTCCTTATAATTTATCAGATTCACCCTGGCAATTTTGTACCAATTTTATTGACACACCTATTTATCTATATGCACGTAAACAGAGATCTCATTTAGAGTTTGATTTAGTTAAACAAGGAACATGTTGAAATGTCTTAATGCCCGTTGTGGTTATAGCCATGGTTATAGGTTACATATTGCATAATACTCTTGCCTTAAGATTTAAGATCTGAAAGCTCTATAACACCACAAATAAAAAATAAGATTTTTTTTTTTTTACAGTTCTGGCAAGGAGAACATTAATTCCCTTGTAAGCACTGAAAGCAAAAAGATGAAGAAGAGCTTTCTTGGCAAGTGTGTGGGAAGCTGGAAACAAGTCAGTTTTCTTAACACTAACCCCTCTGCATTGTACACACCTCTGGCTAGCTTTTAGTGACTTATGAAAAAAGCATCTTCAAAGAAATGAGGTCTACTTTATATTCTAGTGGGAGCAAGACTAAGCCTTGTCCTGTGGTCACCCAGAATTCATAAGTCTAAGGCAGAAAGTCACCGCAATAACATTAGCTAAGTTAGAAACCTGTTTTGGTATTAACCAGGTATGACTGACCAAAGAGAGTTTACAGCTATTCATGTAATTTATAAAGATGTAAAACTGCAGTAATATCTGTAATACACTGTTTCTGTCCTTTTGCCTACAGTTTGGATTGTTGCATGGGAGGTGTCACAGCAGGAAGACTGCGAATATGCAGAGCTAGAAAGATACACTTCTTCATTCAAACAAAAAAGGCTAAAGAAAGAAACTAGAACCTAAGAAAGGGATCATTCAAAAAAACACCTGATTGGATTCTAAGCTAAAAACAAATCCAGTTCATTTAAAACATTGTTCATCTATGCACTTGTCCCTTTTTTCCCTTTCACTGCAGGTCTGTGGATTGTGAACACTTATATTATTAAAAAGATATTTTGAGTTAGAAACAGTTGGCCAGTGATTCAGATAACAGTGTTTATGTGTAATAAAGGAACATAAGTAGCTTTAGGTAACTTTATGTAAAACCACTTACCTTGTACATGAAGTCTGAACGGTATGAGTTAGAGAGATGCTGAATGTCTTTTTTTGAAATGCCAGGTAGGTCTAGAGATTTGCACTCCAATATAGTCCTGCTCTTGTAGACAAATTGAACTAAAAGCTACCATATGGTTTGCAGGTGGAAAAAAAGCCAAACAATTGGATTAACAAAGTACACTCTTAATTGAAAATATTTAATCAGGTGCATGACAATAAATCACTTAGGGGTTTTTAGTGCCCTTGTTTTCACACTGTCATGATGAACAAAGACACTTGAAGTTTTGGAAGTGAACAATCACGTCATACTCGTGAACCTGCATTGTTTCTCTGTGTGCTCCTGGGAGAGATGGGGATTTACAACCAGAACCTCTAATCTTCTTGAGCTTTTTTCACTCCCAGCCAACTGCAGCAAAGACTATACAAGAGGAAGTCATAATAAACTTTGAAGTATGCTGACTCAAGGTCTAATATTACATTACTATTCCATTATTTATCATGCCTACAAGCCTAAGTCATAAATCAGAGCCCTCAGCATGCCAATTATCGTACAAGTGAAGAATAAGTAGCCTGCCCCAGTGTTTCAGAATAAGTAATGATTACATGCTTTGTACTGAAAGAAAAATGCACTAGCTAATCTTAATCCTGTAGCAAAGAAGTACAGAAACAACTGAGTTTGATGTTGGTTGCGTGGTTGGATTCTTTTAACACCTAGTAAGGTGCAAGTCCTTCCCAGAAGCAAAGCCTTTTCCCATCTGAGGCATTTGTAACATCTGTCTTCTCTGTAGAGTCCCTATATTCAAAACTTGTCCTTATAGCACAGCTTTTTCCATATTGGAAAACCTTGCTCTCTTCCAAGTACCCTGTTTTTTCAAAACTTGAGGAGCCAGGAAGCTCTTAGAAAGTGTCTGGACAATATGTATATAGATACATAAGACAGACATGGATATACAAATATGCATAGTATAATTATATAAGCCTTTTTTTCCCCTCTTAAAACACACATTCCAGTGACTTTAACCCAAAGGACACATAGGACCTATTTAAAATCAGTCGCAATATGAGTGACTGTACTGGAGCATCACTTCCTTGCCAGTCCATGCAGTCTGATTTAGATCTAAGTAAATTCTGTATTTGCCATTTCATAGATTACAGCAACCTTGACCTGTTGATCTCAGCACGATTTCTTTGTTAAGACATAAAACGATGCAAGCAAAGTACTAAGTTCCTTTGCAGAGGGGTGAGCTAAACAACACTTCCCAGATTTATGCAGCTGACAACCATCTATTTTTTGCCTACAAACCCATAAGCTACCTTGTTTTCTTATCTGTCCGTGCATGCGCAATAAGCAAGCTGACTCTCTTAAATAAGCTGCATGGAAGCAGTTACTGGAAAAGGTATTTGGGGCCAGTTATTTTTGCAGTAACTACATACAAAGTGAGAGTTATTGGACCATGGCATCAATCATTTCCAGGATTAAATCTGGAAAGTTTGCTAGAGGAATTTGGTGACTGATCTGTGGTTGATCAGCAGAACTACAAGGCCCTCCATAGAAGTTTGAGCACCCACCCACCAAGTCAGCTAACTAGGGAAACAAGAATGCTTCCCTAAATAACCATTCTTCAGGATAAAGTACACCAGGCTTGAGAATAACACTCTCTTACACAACATCAAGTAGCTATTTTCTTGAAAAAGAGTGAAACTGCCTGATCAGTTAGTTAATAAAAGGATTGACTAATGTTTTTACTTTGTCAGATACTATGTTGGAGAATCAACTGATGTCCTCTTTGAAAAATGGTTTCACTGTGAAGATCTTGGCACTCAACTTATACCAATAATTCAAGAGTAAGCTTTATTTCTGTGTAAATTTTAAAAGAATGGTTAAAATGATCTAGTAGATCTTCATCAGTCTATGAATTACATAGTTAATTTTCTATTTATGCTGCATTTTACATTGACTTGTTAAAAGTTAATTGCTGCTCTACAAATTTTTAATCACATCTAGGATACCCCAAACTCACTAAATCAGATTTTAAAAAGATATGAAAATCAAATGTTCCTCACACGTATCTGGAACATACTTTTTGAACAAGTAGAAGCACAGTGCTGCTAAGTGCAAAAAGAATTGAATGAAAAATTAACACTGAATTAATGCTAGGTTAACTAGGTAAAACACTAAATTGCCTTAGGGCTTCTTTCACTCTTGCTTTAATCAAAGTACTTTTAATCAATATTACTCATGAATAATCAGAACTGGCAAATTTGGTAGAGAGTTGCTTTCTAGGAAATTTGCAAATGTCGTCACTTAACTAATCAATTTGTTAATAGGTTGCTAAAGGTGAACCAGAAAATTGTTTAGTGACATGAATTTTGAAGGACTTTCAGACAAACTCAGTCAATGAAATAGGTATAGCCTCGTTGAATACATGCGACAGTAGCTGAGGATCTGGCACATCCGTTCTCAGCACAAAGCTTAATGGCCAGTATTACTGCCTAGTCTTTGTTAACCTACAGAACATGACTTTTTACTGCTGTTTAAATTATTATTATTCCAGGTTTTTCAATTCAAGACAATATCAAACTGGAAAACCAAATCCAGGTAATGCAAATTAATTTCAGAATTAGAATTATTGTATCTGATTGAAAAGCAATGATTCTTTCCACATAAAATGACTAAGTTTCTGTTTTTCTTTTTGATTATGTAAATTAAAGTTACTTTGGGAAGTAATTCCTTTCATTACCCCAACCACAAATAAAATCCATATACATGATTACCAACAGCATCTTTGTTGTTCATGTGATGCCATCATAATGACCTGTCAGGTAACGGTGTGAAATTTCAGTATCTCTATGCTTGCATTGCAATGCCATTCAAGTCTTATACTATCAAAATTTCATTTCTGACTGCAAAGATTTTTGTGAGCTGAATCTACATACTCTATACCTACTTACCTATAACTACACACTGTGATCTACTCTTGGGAAGTAAGGACACCTAGAGAAAGACATGTACTTTTAGTTCATGCAGGGTCTGATCCATTTAACATTTTATTTCCATGCTGTCTCACCCTATTTTTTATTTTGCCTTTGTTTGTGGATAGCAATTGCAACTTCCACACTGGATCAGATACTCCAGGTCATAACTCCACTCTTGAGTCTGTTGGACAGAGACATAGGACATAGAGAGACTGACTGTTAAAGAAAACTAATTTATTAGTATCTTTAGGAATCAGATCTCTCAAACATGATGGTTGCTTTCTGTATAGCAACGGAAGTCTCTATTGCAAGGATATTTGCAACAGCACCTTCAG